GAATAGAAATAATAACAGGACCAGAATGATGTAATTGAAGAACATAAACAGTTAATACAATTGATAATGATGTAAGTGCCATAACAACAGTTAAATAGATTTCAATAAGTGGAACCATTTCACTTGTTGCTGGCATTGATTCAGCAATTAATAACATAAAAACAGAAAAAGCAAGAAGAACAGTTATACCAAGTGTTATTTTTTCTCCCGAATCTGGTGGAAGCCAAAATCCAAGAAGTGAAAGAATTGATAGCCATATACAAGGAAATATTATATTAAATAAATAATATAATACACGACGACGCATATGAACTAAAATTAGAATTTTAATATAAAATAACAAAAACGAAAAAATATTTTTACCATAAATTGTTACATCAGGATAATAAATTCCTGGACAACATGGATAAGTAACATCATTACGTTTCATTTCAATATGAAGAATATGCCATTCACCTGAACGTATATAATTATTCATATCAACATTTTCACGTCGTTTTGTTAAATTAACTTGAGCTGCATCGTATGTCCATGAACCAAATTTTAATTTGCATAATTGATCTATTATTTTTTTTAAAATAAAAAAATTTGATACAATTTGTTTTTTTCATAAAAATAAAAAAGAAATTTACCATCGAATGGAAAATAAGTGACATCAATTTTACATGATGATCGAAATTTAGCTGGTGGCGGCCAAAAAACATGTCCATTATTTTCTACCATAGCTTTACTTTGATAAAACCCTTGAGTATAATCATCAGCTGAATTATATAGAACAATATCTGGTAACCAGATTTTTGAGCATGGTAAACGAAGCGTTGATAAACCATTAAAATCCGATGCATTCCATACTAAACGTTGATCAAACCATTCCTAGATTATTTTATTTTGATTAGAAAGATGAACAAACAAAAAAAACAATTCTTTTTGAAGATTACCTGTTCGAGCCATATATTTGTTGTTAATACTTGATTTTTTTCATCCTTAAAATAAGATAAAAATATTTTATTTTATCTTCTTCAAAAACACCTGGAGAAATATCAAATCGATTTAAAATATAAGTAGGATTAGATTTTTGCTCATAGCAGAAATCTAAGTTATTATTACTATTTTTTTTTACATAAAAACATCAATCTTTTTTTTTGGCTATGATTTCTAAATATATTATGCTTATTGTATATATATATATATATATATTTCTTTTTATTTACATAATTTGAAAAGATCTATCAAGTTCCGAATGATCGGTCTATTAATCAGTATATTTCTATGTTCACATACCATATCGCTTAGTTGAGTCAAAGAAATGCCAAAAGCAACACTAACAGTATTTGATGCATTATATACAGGTCTTGCTGATGGATCATAATTTCTTAATAATTGTACCATTAAACGTTGTTCATCAGGTATTGAATCGGATTCATTGAGAGCTAGATTATAATATGAAGAATAATAATAATTTAAATTAGATTGAGAGTATTGTTGTGGATTTGAAGAAGATGCACCGGATGCAGTAGAACCACTCTTACTAGGCACTTTTAAACTAGTAAAGACAACTTGATAAGATAGCTCAAAGAAATATGTTGCTAGAAGATATATGATAAGTACTAACATGATGTTTCGTGATAATCTCTAGCTTATTCATTTGTTTCTTACTAACGTCATTGATGTGAGAAATAAGTAGATATTTTTGCTCTTAGAAAACAAGAGAAAAAACTATAATAAGGAGAGGGAAAAGAAAGAGGAAATAGAAAGAGATAAAATGTTTTTTTTTCTATTTATTTGTGGGAAATAAGATAAAAATAATCATTACACTGATTATTAGAACCTAATTAATCATTCTCAAGAGAAACAGTTAATAATCATATTTTTTTTTATAGGAATTCAATCGATTGAACATAACAATATTTCATTATTAAGAAAGAACGGAAAATATACATACATACATATATATATATAGAGATTCTTTTTTTTTCATGTCTTATTCAAGATAATTATGAGTAGTGATATAGATCTATCATTTTGATCTAATTATATTAAATATTAATATATATACTTACCATAGTCATACCATGAATTCATATCTTGAGACCATGGATTTTCTTGATTTCGAGAAAATGAACCGTGTCCACCAGAAGTTCCTTGATTAAGTGTGCGTGATGATGAATAATGAGGACTTCCAGATTTACAATTGATTTTGTTGAAATATATAAATACGATTTTTATAAGAATAAAAATATAAGATGATGTTTGTCGTACCATATTGTTACATCGACGAACATTTCTGATTAAACAAAATAAAATTATAAAAAGATATCTTTATATCTAGAAGAAAAGACAATCAGTAAGTGTTAATACTAAAATTCGATAGTATTTGATTTTTTTTCTCTAATTTGTATTTGATTAGATGACAAAATTTATATCTTTATTTACAATTTGAAATATTATATAGCATGCAAATTTACTTTTTTTGTTATTTCTTTTATATAACTGTAGATTGGATATTGTATTGTTATTGAATAAATTCATTTATCTTTTAGTAAATATTTAATCAAAAAATAAACTCGAATCAATAAAATAGCTGTGAACGATGATTGTAGACTGTTACTTTCTCGTTTAATGAAATGATGAAGAGATGCCGAGTGAAGTAAATGAAGAGGAAACTATATCAAAGATTGTTTTCTTCGTTTCTCGTCATCATTAAAATAACCTTTAGGCAGTATGAGATATAATGTCATTTGTAAGAATTTCTACTTTAGAACCGATTATAGAAAAAATATGAGAAAAAGAAAGGAATATTTCTTTGCTCTTACCAAAAAGATCATTTAATCTTTAGATTTGTTTGATATAAACGTTAAAAGAAGTAAGTGACTAATCAAAATACTATATTGAAAGTGAGAACTATGTTCTTGTCGTTTTTCTAATTCTATATATTTTCTACTCTTTCTCTCGGTCTTTTTTTCTCTCTCTATATACACGATCAATTTGTCAGCTCAACCGACAACGACAAGCGGCAGCTGGAGACCGAATCGAGTATGATTTGTTCATGAAGGAAAAGAATAACAACAACATAGCAGAGTTTCTTCGATTTCATGTCATCATCGAAAAAAAACGGAAGACATTTTCCATTTGGAATGTCTAAAAAAACCGATGGATAGCATTCAAACTGATTATGTTGATTCCACTTCTATCGTCTGGAATACTTAAACTATTTTTTATTTTATTTTTTTTTTGATCAATTTCAATAAGATTAAAATGTTAATAAATAAATGATTATCTACTTTCTTTAATATTATATTCATTTACACAACTTAAACAACGAATAATAGATAATATGTTATTAATAGATTGTTTATTTCTCATGATTTATAGTTGTTTGATTAATGATTTGTCATATATGAAATATATCATTGTTTCTTCTATACTGAATATTATTTTTATATATGAATAGAAAAAAATTCTAACGCTTTTTGTCCGTTATACCCTAGAGAATAGGAATAACACATTTACTTTATTATCTCAAACTAAATACTTTTTTGATTGACGATGTAGAATTTCCGTAGACTAAAAATCATTCATTAAAAAGCAAAAAAAAAGAATATAAAATTTTTAGTATAATATGACTGATAGCATTATTTGCGACATGAAAAAAAACGTACTAAGTATTTTTATCGAATAAAAACGTATATATATATAATGTATTATTTCTCGTCAGATCCTTTTTTTTTAAATTTAATATTAATTATCTAATTTTAGTCATAAACGTATGGAAAATATCTTTCATAATAAATGTCAATCATAATTAGTTTTATTTTAAAACAATTTGAATTTTCAAGAAAAAAATTTTTTTTTGTATATACCTTTGAGTTTTTTTTCGCTTATGTTAAAATATTTCATATACTTAACCTTGATTTTATTTATAAAGATTTCAGACTATACATTTCAGTATCAGTAAATGAAAGACCGTTTGAACCAGTAAATGTTTGATTTCCTTTGCCTGTTAAATCAATATAATGTGATGGAAAAGAAATGAAACTAGAATGTTGATCATGATTCTGTAAATTTATACAAATATCCCAAAATCCAAAAATAGGTCCAGTAACGAAGGATGGTAGAATTGCATTTGTACCTTCGGAATGTATTGGATATTTAGTAGGAGGAATATTATGTGGATTAGTTAATGTAAATAGAAATGCATGTTTATCAACTCCCCAATGTTTACCTTGACTATTCCAATTAACTGTTGTATATCCACCGAATAAATATCCTTCTGATGATTGAATGATAGTAAATGTTGGACCTTGATTATCACATAATTGATGACAAATCTTTGAATCAAATCCATTTTGCGTACTTTTATAAATTAGTTGCCATTTTTGATTTTGATTTCCGTAAAATTTATTTACTTGAGTTTGATGATCTGTTGTTAAAAGTGTTCCACCAACAAACAATTGATTTTCTTCTCGAAGAATATTTTTTAGTGACGTTCCCGTAATAACTTGAATTAGTGTTGAAAAATCAATTGACGTTATGTGAATATGAGTGGGAATTGGTTGAACGTTCAAATCGGATTGAATTTGCCCGAGTTTTTTACTTAATTTCTCAATATCTTGCTCATAATAGTTGTCTTCTTCTTTACGTCTTTGTAATTCTTTTGATAGATTTTTTAATTCCATTTCAACAACTGTATTATCCGGAATCATACATTTATTTACCTGTTGTCGAGCACGTTCTGCTGTTTTTCTAACTATTTTCAAAGTATCTTCTTCCCATTGAGTTATTTCATCAATAAGACTTGTTATTTGTGGATAATTTGAAGATATTTTAGAATTAAGTACATTAATTTGTTCATATAAAGCATCTCGATCGATACATACTTGTTCAAAACAAGTATCTAAATAATGACGATGTTCATTGAAATGTATCGAACAAAATCGATCAGTACATCCGTCACATCGAATCATGCCCATCTTTTTACAATTTGCGCATTTTTGTTGTTCTAATTCAGCCATTTTCAGAGTTTGAAACACTATAAAAAAAAGGAAGAAGCAACAATAGAGAAACGAAATAAAAAGACATCGTGCTGTCTGTTATAATAATGCGTCATAAAACAAAAAGAATATGTAATAATTGTTTTCAAAAGAAAAACAAAAAAAAGAATATTACGTGTTATTTTATTAGAATTTTAGTAGTTTTTATCTTTTTTTTATGAACGGTATTCAATAGATTGTATCAATTATTTAAGAACCTAATTTAGCGTTCAGCATGATACATGAATAAACAATTGTATTATAAGGGCGTGGTTAATCATAGAATGTCTCAATTTTTATTTGGTTCTGTAGCTTTATTCAATAATAAAAAGAAATGATTTTTTTACCAGTAATAATGTACGTGTAATGCTAAGAATCTATTGTTATTTGAGCTCTATGCCTCACAAAAATCTAGAGTTAGTAAGTGTTTCTTTATAACCATTGTGAATTTATCATGTTTTTCATTTATAAATCGGATGCTTATTTAAATTCAGATCACGTAAGGCACAAACAACTTGTGCAATCTTGATCATCTTATGACAATCATTAATAGTTCCTCGGTAAATACTATTAGTAACTGGTAAAAAAATCTTTTTTTCTTTGATAATTAAGTGAAACTATAGAACTAAGAGTGATGATAATCGATTCATCAGTAACTACTTTCAAGTCTACTATGAAGAGCTATTTTTGGTATTATCAGTCATCATTATTTTAAAAACGTCTGAGCTAACTACACTATGCTCGTTCTCATGATGAATTTTAAGCTATTTTTATAGACTTCACATCCGGTATTATTTACCGTTGATGGTTGACTGGTGAGTGATCGGCACTGTTGTAGCCCGAAGTAAAATAGATATAGAACTTGCAAAAGCAAACATATCTACTATAAGAGAAGTATTATATAGACGTTTATCTATAAAGATAAAGTTTAAATTGTATGTCACGTCATTTTTTTCATTATTAATTAAATAATCATAAGTCGTCATCGAACCATTCTAAATAATAAAGAAATATTTTTAAGTTAATTAAAATATATACTATCGTAATTATAAAATAGTGCAATAGTTTTTTAATTGTAGAAATATGAATTATATATATAAAGACTATATTTCATATTCCATTAATGACGAGAGATGTAGGAAAAAGTTCAATGAGTATATAGAATATTATTTTATATGAAGTAAGTTAATAAAGATAATGCATAATTATATACAAAAGCGAATTTTTGTATTGATCTACTAACATGTTTCCTTTCATAATCTAGCTATAATCCCTTAATATTAAAGATATTCTATTCAACAACACTATCTACATATACATTATTTAATAAATAGTTTTTTGTTATTTACATAATTTTTTGGTTTATATTCACTGAGCAAATTTTCAATTATCGGCATATTAGTTCTAAACATCATTTTATAGTTGTTTATTATTTTAGAAGATCTCTCTGAATAAGAGTTGGTGCTCATATCATGTAAATATATCATTTTATTTGAATTGAACTAGTATCAAATTTTGAATATTTTACTTCCGTTTTAAAACCATCGATTTAAACAAGACATAATCAATATAACAATAACATTCTCTATTCTTTGATTGAAGTTTCTTATTTTCTAAGTAAACGTTCAAGTTTAAAGTAGATATCTTCATAAGTATACTTGAAAAATGATTAACCTCAGGCACTTAAGACATATGATATTAGAATATAACAGCAATTATTCAATCACTTGTCTTTTTCGTACTTCTAAATGTCTACTTATACAAATGTAATGACTGACATGAAAGAATAGAAGACAGATGAACGAATCGTTGTCGAGGTAACATATACTTTTTTTCTCATCAAAGGTAAAAAGAACGAGAAATATTTGCCATTTTATATCGTATTTTTTTAATTAATAATTAAAAATATTTCATTTGTAATGTGCGAATTATTAAATACAACATTTGACAATTTAAATAATTCCTATTCTCAATTATCATTGTATGAATATCCATCATATAAACCATTAAAATTATCAAATTATTTACCGGAATCAAACCGTGATCAACTACTATTATCATTACATTCATTATCATTGAAAGTCAAAACTCTTGAAAATGAACGAAAAGTTAGAATATTAAAAATTTATTTGTTCTTATTTATGTATGAAATTCTTCTATTTGATATTTAGAAAGCTGAATTAACTTTTCATGAAATAACAAATAAATCTATTCGATCATTTAACAATGATAAACAACCGAAAGAAATTCTAGATAAGAATGTACAATCATTTTCGAAATGTCGAATAAATAAGAAAAATAATCATAATGTCTGTCCAACTCCAACAATAAAAAATATTAATCGTATACCTTTTATTCTTGGACAATCGACAACACCAAGTCATAATGTTAAAACAAATATACAAAATGTAAAAAAAAGAATTCTAAGATGAAATATATTATCTATATTTATTTAAGGTTTTTGCTTTATTAAAAAATAATAAGCATCAATTACGTTCATCATCAAAAGAATACACTAATCATCTCCATCCTCATTGTAAAAAACAATCTCTTTATCCTGATCATTATAAGAAATCAAGTCTTATCAAAGATAAACAATATGGCTTAGGTTTAAAACATTTAGTTAATGAATATGTTAGACATTCTCGTAAAAATTCAAATTTCAATTCATTTGAAACATTAAATCAAAAAATAGAAAATATATTAAAAAAATTTGAACATTTACAAAGAGAGCATATGATGTTAAGATATGGTTATACAAACGAAGAATTCAATGAAACACCAACAGAAACTTTAGAGAGAACAAAATTACTTCAACTTATACTTAAAGATTCTTTTGATGAAGATAATACTTAACTATTTCACATTCACTAATATTATATTTTTTTTTAAATTAAATAATGAAACTTTTTAATTGTATTCATAAGTTGTTTTATATCTTTATTTTATAGATAGTCATATTGAATAATAATTAAGATTTAGTAAGTTTAAATCTCGTTTTGACGGAAAAATATAACTATTCACATGTATAAATCTTAAGGGTAATCGGCGGCGCCAAGTTTAAAAAAGTTCAGTGGCGCAGGTTTAATATTCCAAAGTTACACAGCAGCAGGGGCTCGAAAATTTGAAAATTTCGCATACCATCGGCGGCGGCTGTTTAGCCGCACGACTCACACCTCTACAAGTTGTATTGACACGCGATATATGTTTTGTCTCTATATAAATCATAATACTGTATTCTTTGTCAAATTCATATATAATATCTATGAAGGTCATAGTGAAAAATCATCATGTAGGATTTCCATTGGATAATGGGGATTGCATCAATTTATGGGAATATTATCTAAGTTTGTGTTATTCTATTATGAAATAAATATCGAAACAATTAAAACATCTTCATTATGATAAAAGGGAGAAGTGAATAAATTTTATGTTTGTTCTGTGTATTCTTTATGACTTGACCGTTGTCATGTTACTTACCTATTTCACATGTTTGTCTTTAAAAAAAGCAAAGAAAAGAAAAAAAATAAGATACATCGATTGTATACTCAAACAGAACATATTAACATTTGTTACTTCTTTATTTAAGACAATCAAATCAATTCTTTCTTTTTAGTTTTAGGTCAGCACCTAACCATCAGAATCGTATAAAAGCATTTCTGTTATTATTTGAATCGGATGTATTCGTTGATGTTTAAAAGTATATTTTTTCTCATTTAAATAAGTCTTTAAAAATACTCTAATAAACGATATTTTAGATTGTGGTTTTTCGTCACATTACATCAATGTCAAGGGTAAAATAGATTTTTTTTGTTTATTAAACGAATTTAAAATTATATAAACAATATTTTTTATAGACATTCCGAAGAGAACAATTGAATTATCCTGGCATGTAAACGACCATTCGAGAAAAATGCAGAATAGCGTTTTTAAAAGAAGAATATATAATTTTATTTTAAAAAAGGTATTGTAACATAAGGTATACATTAGTATTTGTTTAGCAGAAACTAAGAACTCATCTGAACTCTAGCTGATTTATATGTTTTTTGTCATCGAAGACTAAGAACAAAGTAACATTAACAGAATCTTAGATCTTCTGTTTTATATATAAATAACTTGTAGTATTACATTAAACTTGTTTAACTGCATTCTTATTACTACAAGACAACAATTTCTTAGTTCTACATGAGAATGCAAATTATAAGTTAGACTTATATGAGGATATATTTAGATTCAATTCACAATGGGCTAAGGAATGACAAGTAGAATTATGATTGATAAGACTTGACGTAGTTCTGTATTGAGAAAACTCGTTTAAATAGTATATATGAAACTAGGAAATGTTTTCTCTTCTAATAACTTATTGTTGTCTAATAAACATTCTTTCTTTCTTTTCGTATTTATCTTGAAAACTCAATATCTTAGGAATGAAAGCACGCAATACAAATCATTTTCAGGTCATGACACTTCATTAATATCCATTTTTGCTTATTCATTGAGTAAAATATTTCATAAACAAGTAAAAAGTATGGTAAAAGACAAATTTTCGACGTAGTTTATAATCTTTCGTTAAGATCGAATATAGCAAAAAGGAGAATAGTAAGAAGAATTTTTGTAAAAAAGAGAAACATTCATATACCAGGTTTTATCTAGATAATCAGCAGGCAACGCGTCTATTCGAACACTCGATAGTAGTTTTTCTGTGTGAGTCTTTTTTTCTAAATGAAATTTATGTAATTGGATTTTTTAGTACATCAACTTTCATCGTTAAAACCTTGGCTTACATTATCTAAAAATTGTTCTTTTTTTATTCCGATTTATAAGCATGTTCTTCAGCATACAACACACGACACTTTTCATATACTTTTAAATAAAATAGCCTACAATTATTGTTTACTTCTTAACGGCATTAAATATTCAAGTTTTTGTATTTGAAATAATCGGTCCAATAAAATAAAATATTAAATGTCTTTGTATGAATAAACCTAATATACACATATAGTTAGAAGATAAACTTATCTATTCATGCTTACAGTTTCTGCATTGTTTCATACTCGAATAAATAGATATCTTTTCATTTTAACAAATAATATTGAATATTTTAAATAAAACTACAATGTAATTGAAACAAAGTATAAGGATCTCTTTCAGTGGAAAACGATTTTTGAAAAATACTACATTAATAGAGAAATTATCTTTGGTATATTTCTATACTTTTAATTGAAGATATTTATCAAACGAAATAATTAAATAAATCTTCTTTGTTGTTTATAAAAATGTATACAATATTGTTATGATTGCTTCTATGATATTAATTATTGGAAAATTTTATTAGTAACAATACAAGTCTTTTATTTACATGTACAAAAAAAATAGTTTTCGTATAACAAAATATATTCTGTCATTTTGTAATTTATGCTTAATTAACTGAAATTTAATCTAATTAAAGACGTATACTCGTTTGATTAACAGTTGCTGTTTTGATCAACAGTTGCTGTTATAGGTGGTGATAATACTAATGAATGTTTTGGTGGTACATTAGACATTGCAGCTTCATAGGATGGTGGTGCTTCTTCATATATACTCGGAATTGGTGATCTACCATTAGCATCATAGACAGGATGAACTTGAAAAGTTCGACCGGGTCTATGCCTAGATTGTTGGTGATATGTATACGATCCTATTTCATTATTTGTATCTATCATAGAAGAGCGAGCATGCTTTTGCGATTGCATCCAGCAGGATAAACATGTAACTATAAAAACGATGGGAACAACAATAATGACTGTAAGAAGACTTGGTGGTAAATCTGAAGATGGTGTTGGCACAGGTACTCGTGTTGTATAATATAAACATGATCCTGAAGTACTTCCACAATATTGATAAGCTATTAGAAATAAGTAAAGAGATAAAAATTTTGATGAGTTTTATTTACTTTCACAGCACCAAGTGTACGAATAAGTTTGACATGTTATTTCTAAATTAGAAAAAAATCGAACAATAAAGATTATTTTTTTATTATGAAAAACTGACGATCATAACGACAAGTAACACTATATACATTTGTACATATGAATGTAAATAATATAAGAATCGAAAATATGTAATTATTCGGTTGACCAGACATATTACTTAGAATATTGAAGTTTCTTTGCGTAGTTTTTTCATAAGAATGAATATTATCATTCATTCATTCATTTACATAATGGTAACAAATATTGACTCACCATAAATAGATAAGGCCATACGGTATGTCTTGCCTTCATTTATGCCCTTCTGCTTGGCAAGGTTTTGACTACTAATATAA